CCAGCCCTCCCCCAACCAATGGAGGTGCTAATTGTTCTTATCGGCCTCTTATCAGTAACTATTTGAACCATCAACTCACTCTCTCTCTCTTTTTCCCCTTCTTTCTCCCTCCTTATTTCTCTCCTCCCCCTTCCCTTATTTATTCTTGGATCTGGACTTCTAATTCTCTAGTCATCTGAAGAAGTGGGTTGCGCCCACCAAAGCTCATGATACCATTTACAACAGTGGTCACCAGCCAGTAGATCGGGATCTACTGGTAGATCTTGGAGTCTCTCACAGGTGATCCTGACTGGTTTGACTAAGAGGCTATGAAGTGCCAGTACAGTTAGCTGCCCCTCCCCCCACTGCTGCACACCACTTGCCCTTTCTTTGGGAGCTTCCCCCTGCAGCCTGGGAGCCTCCAGCTTGTGGTTCAGAGCAGGGAAGGGAGAGGAGGGGCGCTGACGTCAGGGTGCCCCTTCTTCCACCCTGTATTCTATCTCCACAGAATGAGGAGAGGGGGACAACAAGGCCTGGGATGGAAGGAGCTTGCTGGCTGCTTTTGAGAGTGGTGCAGGGCCAGGGGAGTGGTGAGCCTGACTTAGCCCTAGTGCACCACCACCCAGGAGCCACCTGTCGTGTCCATCTGGAGCCAGCGCCGAACCCCTGCCCCAGTCATGTATCCCCACAACCCAAGCCCCTTCCCTAGCCCTGAGCCCCCCCCAGACCCAAACTCCCTTACAGAGCCTGCACCCTGAGCCTCCTCCTGCACCTCAACTGCCTGCCCCAGGCTCAGCTCAGAGCCCCCTCATACTTCAAATCCCTTAGCCCAAGACCAGAACCTGTGCCCCAACCCTCTGCCCCTGCCTGGTGAAAGGGAGGGAGAATGGGAGGCTGGAATGAGCAGGGGCAGGGCCTCGGAGAAAGGGCATGAAGGAGACGGGGCAAGGATATTTGGGTTTGAGGTAGATCCTGAATTGCACTTAAATTCAAAAAGTGATCACGTGCTTAAAAAGATTGGAGACCCCGAGCTACATGTTTTGTTAGTCTTTAAGGTGCTACTAGTCTATTTGTTGTTCTTTAAGGTTTTTTTTTAATTGTTAACAGCCACTTTTCTTTGAATCTGGGATGGATCAAAGCAGGATTGGCAAACTGTTAATGTGCATCAGCAGGGTGCAAACAAACAGCTGGACTGTAGCAGGCTGGCTGGGGTAGATTCACACCCCATCTTGCCACAGCCTAACTGTTCACATGAACAAGCCCTCCAGGCAAGGCAAGCCTATAAATTTACATCAGCAGCACAGCACCTGTGCCACTGGTGAAGACTCGGTAAGCCAACAGTACAGAGCTCTCCAGTTGGCTAAATAACTCCACCTCTGCAGGGGGCAATAGCTACATTGGCAGGAGACTCTCTCCCACTGATACAACTCGGTCTACCCCACAAGTTAAGGTATAACTAGGGATGCAAATGTAGGTGACCGAAATTGCTAATGAAGCGGGGATTTAAATACCTCGCGCTTGATTAGCATGATCTCGCCGGCACGTTACTCTGCTCAACAGCTGTTTTGAAAGTGAAAGTGTGCGCCAGGATGCATTAGTTCAAACCAAACCCCTTGAGGAGTAACGTTAGTTTGAACCAAGGGGTTTGGTTTGAACAAATGCGTGAGGTGCGCACTTTCAATTTCAAAACAGCTATTGAGCAGAGTAACGCGCCGGCGAGATCATGTTAATCAAGCGTGAGATATTTAAATCCCCGCTTCATTAGCAATTTCGGTCACCTACATTTGCATCCCTAGTTCGAACTAGGGTGTAAGTGTAGACATACCCTTAATATTTAATGCCTCAAGTCATGGAACAAACCCAGAAGAACCAGTCACTCTGCTTCTTAACTAGCTGGAAGCATCTCTACAGAACCCATGTGATGCTCCATGACAACATGATTGAAGCAATTATAAAATGTACACTTCGACTTGCCCATTTCATCAGGGCCCCAAGCTAGCCTTAGAGGCAGCATTTTTCATTTGGGAAAGGGAACCACAGAGAGATCTGGTGGGTTGCCAAGGTCTTGGAGGGGATCTGTGACACAGCTGAGAACAGACCTCCTGACCTTGACTCACTCTCCTTAAGTTTTAACCACAGACTATGACACTTGCCAAAAGAATGTTGTATGAGGCACGATGCAGAACAGAATGTAAAGTAAGCCACATCTCCTGCCTGGTGGCAGGATGTGGTATCCCATTTGTTCATAGGCTGCTACCCTTGGGAAGAGATGTCAGAAGTGAGGCTTGCCTTGTGGAATGATATTGCATTACATGGAGAGACACACCTGGGTGAGTTAATGACTTTTATTGAACCAGCTTCTGTTGGTGGAAGGTATAAGCTCCCAACCTCCACAGAACACTTCTTCAGATCTGGGGAAGGATGCAGAAAAGCTACTTACCTTGTCTCTTGTATCCTGGGATAAACACTGTGAACAACATTGTGTTTCTTAGCATTTAAACACACATCTAGCTTCCAGCAGGCACTAATGGCAGCTGAGTTATCACGACTTGGAAGAACCCAGTACGTACTGGTCACTCCATGCACCGTTCCACTCCTTCTTTCCCCAGGGATTCCTCATTCTGATCATGAAGAGCTTTTCTGACTTAAAAGAGAACAGGAGCCTCTCTCCAAGGTGCACCTTCTGAACTGCCGTCACCGAGTAGGCATGGCCTATGATCAGACCCATCTCTGTCTCCACCTCTGTGTCACTGGGGGATGACGACTGCATCACACAAAAAACAACAACAAACAACATCCTACAAGGAGCTAATAAGATGTTCAAAATCAATAAGGCCACTTCTGCAAACAGTCAAGTGGTTTAGGGGGTTTTATGTACAGCTGAGAGTTCTGTTGTAGAAACACAGTCGAAACAGAGGATTTGGCATAAGGAGTTAAAGCCAATATTCCTCCAGTTCAGTAGCAGGCAGCCTAAAGATGCAGGGGACTAGAATCCTAGTCTGGGGAGGCTAGGGCAGCTGATGGTCCCACATCACTACTGGGAGGCCCTGGAAAATGAAATCCTGGGAGTACAGGGGGATCAGGCACCGGCAGCACCCTGAAGGGATCAGAGAGACCTTCTGATTGGTCTAGGCTCACTATTTAACCCTGGAAGTGACCTGGCAAGCTGTCTGGGCAAACATGCAGGCTTTGTGGCTTGCTGTGATACCAGACTTCAGCTTGTCTATCGATCTCTGGCCCTGATTCCTGCCTGGTAACTACATCTGATCTTTGAACCTGGCCTGGCTCTGACCCTGGCTGTCACCCATTGATCCCAGCTCTAATGATTACACTAGTCCCTGGGTGTTGACTGCTGCTGTGCAGAGGCAGCCCTAGACTAGCTGCCAGCAACTGGCACCCTAGGTGAACCATGCAATTGGCGCCCCCACCTCCAAACCCCTCAATGATATTGCACCACCATTTGGCACCCCATTTAACTTGGTGCCCTAGGCGACCGCCTAGTTCACCTATATGGACGGGCCACCCCTGCTGCTGTGACACAGTCTATGCCTCACTTGTATACATCAATGTTATCAGTTAGTTTCCTCTGGGGATCTTAAATCAGATTTGAACCCAGGTCCCCAAAGGTGACAGGTAGGTAGTGGGGTACCCCAGTGTACTGAATGACCTGATTAATTACTAATCTAAGAATGTTGGGCACGTGTTTCTGTAGCCAGACACGAACCCCATCTTGTTTCTCCCCCCCCCCCCCCCACACAG